CTGCCATGGCAGGAGGAGCTTGCCCTACCAGAAGTTGGAGAGGGGCAGGGACTAGGCGGGGACTGAAGGAAGGCAGAAGATAGAAACGTAAAGATGTGGGCGTTGGAGAAAGAGAGGATTATCAGTGATGCTAAAGAAACTTCAGCAGGGAGTTGGTGTTGGTTTGGTGTGGGCTTCTCCTTCAATGCATACCCAGGTTTCCCCCAGAACAGGGCAAAATTGGCCCCCAACAGCCTCTGGTTTGTTCCTTCCTATAGTCAGAAATTTGGATTCTTGGGCAGTGTCTGAGCTGGCAGAACTTACAAGGCATAGTTTAGGCATAGAAATTCACACTTGCAGGTGGTTTAATATAGTTACATAAATATTATATAGTTACAAAAACTAATTATTTCTCAACTCAGATATTTTGACATTCTTGAGGTCATACCCATATACCTGTATTCCTTCAGGCTACATATATATATGTAAGTAAATTAAGATTTTTTTAAAAGAGAAAAAAAAGCACTTTGATTAATTATAAAATGATGTAAATATACATCTCATTTTTGAAACTATAAACGTTTTCAGAGACTACCATAATCAAAAATTAAAAGTATTTAATGTGACATATAAAGTAGCTTAGTTTACCTTTCCATGGTATTCTATTGAGCTCTGGACTGGTAGAAGGGGGTTTGAGCTTGGGCATAGTTTTACATTGGTATAAATTGTTAATTTTGAAACTTCTTATTTCAGCTTATAAACAAACATTTAAAGTGTTTTGTTTTTTTTTTTTATATCCTGACGAAGTCACAACTGAAAAATAGGAGCACTATGTATCATAATGATCCATTGAATAATAGTTATCACATATTCACCTACTAGTCAAGGAATCAAAAAAACCCACACAGAAGTGAAAAAGCTCAGTGCTTAACAACATGGCGTATGGCTTCTACTTTGCATTAGAAAAAAACACTCAAGACTCAATTATCACCACTGTGATTCATCCACTGCTGGCTGCTACACCAGCCCAAGTGCTGATTGGGCCTAGTACTTCTCAAGGTGTGTCTTGTAACAAGAGATTCTTGCAATTCTAAGACTACATAATGGACTGTGATATCCTCCTTAAATGGTAGGATCTATTACATATATTTATTAATCAGTACCATCTAATTGTTATAAACCGTGCTCACTAGCTAATAATGAATGTAATGAGGTGCTAGCAGATGTTCCCAAACCAGCCTTTTGTAGGATTAAAATTTAGAAAGATCTTGAGCTTGATTCCTAGTTGTGGGAGTTATTGTTAACAGTGTGTTAATATTTTTCTTAAAGCCCTAAACTGAACAAAATGTGATTAAATAATACTAAAGGTTTTTCTAAAATCCACAAATAGTGAGATAGAGGTCTTCATTGTAAAAATGTGCTTATTGAAGTGCTCTGAGAAAGTATTGCAATAAGATTTCTCATGGTAAATATTTTTCATAAAAGTTTGTATATTAAATACTGACAAGTTAGTTAATACAGGTAATGTTTCTTCTCATGTTGTATTATTGGAGGATTTTTCATTTTTTCAGACTTTAGATTTTTTCCCCATCAATTTATCAATGTAGATTATTTGAAAAATAAAATAAATATAATTTCAGTAGATCTTTTCAGTTGCCTTTGGAGAAATAAGAGAGAAACTTGAGGGAAAATGCAGGAAATCATTGAACATTTTTTTCTTTTGTGATTAATAGTTTTATGTCGAATTTGCTATCAAATGACAAGATGTCATTGTTTTGAGATAGACACAGCGGGATTGAAAAGATTTGAATCATGCTCCATGTAAATATTTGTGATCTAATACTGTTAGGATTATGGTAGAAAAGGCTTAGGAAAACAGCAGCTGTAATAGGCGCTCAGAGCAATGTCTGCTCTTCCCACTCTGATGGCAGCGTTGCTTCAAGCATGTTTCACATGACTCTACATGTTTCTGCTCTTGGAAAAATGTTGCAGTCATGGCGCAAGCATCAAGTTCTATGTGAGGGGATACAGGAAGTCATACTAAAAAGTTTGATTTTCATTTTGATGTTATACAATGATGCTGTCAGTTTTAGAAAATACATAACTGAAGGCTAGCAAAGACTCTTTCAATTGTAAATACTTAGTATCTTAAGTAAAGAGACAAGTATTAAATAATTACATCTTTTACCAACCTATCAAAAATAAAAAGAATTCTCAGATGCTTAGGCAAAGGTTTATTGCTATGAAGTTACATGAAGTGAGCTGTAGTGTTTCTGCATATTTCTTGATTTTGAAGTAGCAATCTGAGGCTTTAGGATAATATAATCCTGTTCTTTAGGTATATCAGTAGCATCTCCATAGTTAATGTAATTAGTAAGTGGAATTTTTCTCAGAATTTTCACTTTGAGCACTATTCAACACCAGAGGGTGCCAAACTGCAATGTAATATCTGCAAATTCTTTGTAAGATGGTATTATATACATAATATGGCTTTGCTAAATATTGCAGGTTTGATCCTCTCAGTCTTTTCTTGTTTAACCACCATTATGCTACAGTACCAGAAAATGCTTTTGATTTCCTTATAAAGATAGCAAAAAATTCCTGTCTCCAGCAGCTGGCACCATCAAAGAGACATTTTCAAATATGTGGATAAACGTTACCTAGCTACATCATCAATCCATCTTTGTCTTGCTAGTCCTGGCTCTAGTTACTTGTATAGGGGTCAGAAGCTGTAGTTTCTATATGCCTTACTATCAGCGGTTGGTAGTAAGAACTTTGAAATGCATTTGTTATCTTAGACAAGTCCTCATGTTATGATTGCTTTTAATTCTATTATTGATGTGATTTTCTTGTCCAAGTTGGAGCTATCAGTAACCACCCGTGTGCTTCTGTTC